ATAACATCATCAAATACCCATAACCACGATTATATTTTCATTTATTATTGATAGTATCATTGCGCATATGTTTTAGATTTGCAGATTCTATTTCTTACGTTAATCCATAACAATAATATCATTCACGTTTGGTTTTACTTTTTCTAATTTATGACAAAATGTTTTGATACCCCCAGCAAATGTTTTAACATCTTGACGTTTGATGCTTTGTATATTTTATTCAGAGAAAAATAATTACTCGACGAGAGTCAGAGTACCTTGCATATGTTATAATCTACAAATCCACAAATGGTACAATAACACAATTTGTTTTTGTTTACCTGAATACTTTGTTTGTTTGTAATATCAGACACATCATCTCTATCAACGATTTACGGGTTCACAGAATCTTAGTATTATTTGATTCGTTCATATGTAAAGATAATTAACTAACTAACAGATGCTTCAACCCACGACTACAAAAAGAACAGAACAAAATTTATAAATAGAAGAAAGGCAAATAAATAAATACCTATGTGGCATTGTTAATTAAGGCTTATTTTAAAATGTCTATCAGTTGAGCCCAATTGAGGCAAAAACTTTTAAAATTTCAAACCTTTCCCAGCGCAATATTGAAAAAATTGGCAAGCAGATAGATATGGCTAAGTTTGCCACACCTTCCTGTAACCGCAGGTGCAAGAATCTGTAAGGAAGTCGCAATTTTGTCCGCTCGAAATAAGCATCGTCCGTTGTGCGTCACATGCAGGTGCAACGCGGGAAGACTCGATTCACAGTATGTTAGCTCATGCTCTAATGACAATAAAATGCTCTTCATAAAAATCAGAATATCATTGACGGTTATTGGATCGGAGATTAGTACATGGTGTCCATAAAGACCTTTCATAATTTCAATTTTGTTATGAAATCAGTTCTCAACATATCTTAGCCAGGTTAATTGTTTTTATGGTATCGGTAAATTCCCTTATACTTTTCAAAACTTCATGGAAATCAAGAATTAATCTTTGTAATTAATTGAGGAATAAATTAATATGAATAACTGGAAATAAAAAAAAATTCTCCCAAATAATGAACACTGTGATATTTTCGAAGTTTGTGTTGATGGACGAATAAAAATTCATTGTCAAAAATTTGATGATGTTCGATTTGTGTTATCTGTGTTGGTGGCTTGGATATCTTTACCAAAATTAGAAGCATTAGAAGTCCTATACTTCAAAAATCATTGGTAATCATGTATACAGCATGCCGATTGCTTGAAATCAGCTACTAGCCTATCTCTCCACAATTTACTTTTAATTTAGATAAAATTTAATTAAATTAATGATATATATCTATATATATATATATGATATGATAAGTTGAAAACACGATTCTATTTTATCAATGTGATTATAAATATATATCGTATAAGTGGTGATAAGAACGTGTATATAATTTTAAATTACAATTGCTTTGGTTTTCACAATGTAATCCAAAATTGGTAAATTCATCTATAATCAAGAAATCACTTTCGAGTTGACCATCAACTATTCAAACTGACTGAGGACTAAGATAGAAATTCTTAGTAAGAAAGTACAAGGCAACGCGATCACGTCTTCCCATAAACTAACGTGTGCATAAATTTCGTAGTAAGGGATTTATTAATGAATGTAGTAATTAACTGACTTAAATATGGGGTCAATGTTAAATACATCAAATTAATTGAATGGATCATTTAAGCGGAGATTTCTAGCGCCTTGTTGTTTTGTGAATACAGTAATGGGTCGGAATCAAACAAAGACGAACGTAAATGATCGTTCGAGGAAAATGTTCAAGAAAATAAGCACATCGACAAAACCTTGCCAAGGTGTCAATTAAGAATCTTTCTGAATATTTGCTGAAATCTGAAAACTATTCAATGTGGAATGGTATTTTACACAGGTCAAATAAGCATTTAAATTATCATGGACCCTCATCTCGATATTTTACATTTTTGATAGAAAATAATACCATAAACATGGGCACTGGTGGAAACGAGACGGAAATGCATGTCCGACAAAGTTGTGTAATTTCTCAGCGGGACTTTTTATCCATTTAGTGATCGAGGTTCAATGCATGTCGTGGTCTAATGAATTTGACTTTGCTGCATCTGCGTCCCTTTTCAGACGTCTCATTGATGTTTATTTGTTTGTAACCAATGACATTGCATGTAAGAAAAATTCACGACAAGTATGTCCTGCTATAACAAGAATATGGGATGTTGAAAAATCCTAAGCCAAGCTATTCCCAAGTCGGAAATTAATATTTTTGCCTTCAGTTTGTTTATTGAAACACTATGTTTCGTTGAATGTTTTGTGTTTGCGTTTCGATTAAACATCATAATCATGAAGCACGGATCTAATATGTAATATGCTTCTAACGACTATCAGACTCGAATCAAGAGCGGTTTATCAGCAGACTCGAATCATTATAATTCATCAAACCAATCATTAGAGCCTGAGCAAGGTTCGGATTAATTGAACATTATAATTACCAGCTTGAACATATTTCATTGATTTGATTAAATATTTACACGTTGTTTTTTTTGTATTCATCACTATTTGTAAAATAAATAAAAAATACTATAAGGCTTCACATTAAATGGAACGTTTGTGGCGATGGCGATTTGTGTCTCATTGATCAAGCTTTACATGATATATTAAAGATTGTGTATGCAGAAGTTTAATCGTTCAATTGTTGAATTCAAATATTAATATATTTTGTGTTCGTTCGTTTTCATTCTATTATGAATACAAATATATCGTTCCATGGCAGGGTTCGAATTGAGTTTTTACAAGTTGCCCTATGATGACACCTAACGACTAGATTTATATTAAGTTTCAACATATTTTATCCAACGCGCTTATACATAACAAGTATTCTGTTTTGAATCAATGTTGTTGCTCATCACGATGCGTGTAGCTCCAATTTATTTTAAAGTTTGGTTGCAGTTTCAAATATAATATTTAGAACGACAAATCAATAACACCATATTACAATTGTCAAAATGTTCGTAATTCCTGTAGTTGCCTTTTCTCCACCTTAATCCGCAATAATAATAATATTCATGATTGGTTTTAATCTAATCGTTGTTAAATATTTTAATACTTTGGGCATATTGGCCATCGCGTCTTGTGCAAGGTATCATCAAACGCTGATTTCACAATGCATTGACTTCGCCAGACAATGAAAAGTTGAATTCAGACGGACTACAGTCACGATCTTCTCATGTTATTGGACACGTTATTGGACACGTTAGTGGACATAACGATCGTTTTGGTATTTTTGTTGTTCTTGTTTTTATTTGTCTTCTTCTTGGTATCGTTATGATAAAATCGCTTTTCTCGTTGATTACTGGACCAATTGCTTTGAAATTTTCAGTGAGGAAAGATTATATTTTCCCCCAGAAGGCTATTACTTTTATTTATTCTTAAATTTTATATGAATCCTATGAGATATGATATTTCATACAAAATTTCGCGGTATTTATTTTTACTCATGGGAACACTGTTTTACACTTATTTCAAGCGGTTTCGCGATCGATTGTCTTGCTCAGTACTACAGCTACTGTAGGTCGGTACTGGTAAGTTGCCATACCGGTACCGTAACGCAGTGAAATTGACTTATTCCTTCCGCGGTATTACTAATGCTGCAATGCAAGTTTTATAGCCTATCGTATGCGGAACGGAATATCAGACCTACAGGTTCGGTACCGGTACTGGTAGCTCAGTACTTAAGTACGATACTGGTACTGGTGCCGGTACCGGTGTCTTACCACAATGAAATTACCGTAACTTATTCTTTCACGGTCCTACCAGTGCAGTAATGCAAGCGTTGTAGCACTTGTAGCCTACTATATTTGTTTATTTTGATGAGAGTCTACTGGAAACAACATAAAATTTGAAAGGGAAGAATTGTTCCGTGATCAATTATCTGTCCTAAAGTGTAAACAACATAAAATTTGCAAGGGAACAACTGTTCTGTGATCAATTACCGTATATGGCCTACAGTGTACAGGTAAGATGCTGGCTGACTGCTAACCGGTACTGGTAGCTCAGTACGTAAGTACGATACTGGTACTGGTGCCGGTACCGGTGTCTTACCACAATAAAATTACCGTAACTTATTCTTTCACGGTCCTACCAGTGCAGTAATGCAAGCGTTGTAGCACTTGTAGCCTACTATATTTGTTTATTTTGATGAGAGTCTACTGGAAACAACATAAAATTTGAAAGGGAAGAATTGTTTTGTGATCAATTATCTGTCCTAAAGTGTAAACAACATAAAATGTGCAAGGGAACAACTGTTCTGTGATCAATTACCGTATATGGCCTACAGTGTACAGGTAAGATGCTGGCTGACTGCTAACTCAGTACCGCACCTACGTTAGGTACCGGTACCGCCGTGAATTCAGCTCTCATCTCTTTGTTGGACACGTAGTGGACATAACGATCGTTTCAATATTATGTTGTTGTTGTTGTTCTTGTTCTTTGACACGTTTTTAAAAAGTCGCTTTTCTCTTCGAATACTGGACCAATTGCTTTGAAATTTTCAGTGGTTAAAGATGAAAATTTTCTCCAGAAGGCTATTACTTTTTTTTCGCTATGACGTCATCAAAATTATGTGACTCTACGTGTCCATTTATTTGAGCATAGCTCTCTTGTTCTTGAATATCTTTATTTTTATACAAATGCACTCTAGCGTAGTGAACATGTAGGCTAAATATAGATTTTCAATCCGTGTTCTTGCAAGATATACTGGTGCATGAGATATTATTCCCTTATTAATTCAATGGTGACGATCAATCTATCTCTCCGAATTGACGCCGTGAAGAAGAATAATCTTTATTTTGTTCAATTAACTCAGATACATATAATGTATTAATGTTAATACATGTATGGATTCAACTGCACTCGAATATCAACTCATTCTCTTATTTTGCAATTTAGGTCTGTATTTCACGGTTAAAGGGGATGAACGAAAAATATGCAACAAGTTTTATTGCCAATATCAAACGCATACAATAATAGGATTCTACCATAAGATAATGATAAATTAACCATAAAGTAATCTCTATATCATACTGCTCATGACGTGTTGCGCATCCAGGCCGCGAGAGAAATATTTCAAATTCATGTTGTGAAGATAAAAAAATTTAATTTGCTAATTCAAAATATCAAAGAATGTGAATAGTAGAGGAAGATCTTAGATCATAATTATTCGTAATTCAAAGTTTGAAATATTGTATGGAATAAGGGCGGACATTGATGCATTAATGAATGTAGCAATTAACAGACGTAAATATGCGACCAATGTTGTTAACATCAAATTAATTGAATTGAACATTTAAGCGGGGATTTCTAGCGCCTCGTTGTTTTGTGAATAATATATCGGAATCAAACAAAGACGAACGAAAATGAACGTTCGAGGAAAATGTTCAAGAAAACATCGACAAAAAGTTGCCAAGGTGTATTTTGAAATATTTTTTGATATTTGGTGAAATACCTAAACTGTTTGATTTAGCATGACAATTCCCAGGACAAATTTCAGTTCGCACGTACTCTCATCTCGATAGTTTACATTTTTGATAGAGACATAGAGTATAATACCATAAACATGGGCACTGGTGGAAACGAGACGGAAATGCATGTCCGACAAAACTTGTTCAATTTCCCAGCGGGACTTTTCATCCATTTAGTGATCGAGGTTCCATCCATGTCGTGGTTTGATTAATCTGACGTTACTGCATCTGCGTCACCTTGCAGACGTCTCTGTGATTTTATTGGTCTGTAACCAATGATAATGCATGTAAGAAAACACAAGAATACACGGCAATTATGTCTTGCATAGCAAGATTATGGAATTTAAAAATATCTTTGGTCAAATTATATCTAGGTCCAAAATAATCCATTTCGTTAAATGTTTTGAAATTAAACATCATACTCATAAATATAGTTTTGTAGCGCACAAATCTAAAATATGTTGAGATTAAATTACGTGGTATGGTATCATCACTTCTGACTCAAATCATTATAATTCATCCAACCAATCATAAGAGCCTGAGCAAGGTTCGAATTAATTGAACATAATAATTACCAGTTTGTACATATTTCATCGATTTGATTGTTTTTAATCATCACTATATACACATAAATACTAAAGGCATTAAAGTAAATCGAACGTTCAAGACTGCCGCTTTGTGAGCTATTAATTAGGAATTCCCTAATATAATATAAAAAAAAAGATTGTGTGGCCGAAGTTTTAAATTTCAATAGTTCGAATTTTTTAATTCAATCGCTTCAAATAAATCTTTTGTGTTTGTAAAGAATTATCATCCGATTATCAGATTTTCTATGTTGCTCTACGGTGACATCTACCGACCAATTTTTTGCCGATGTAGTTTTGTTAATTTTTGATCTCACTGTGAGTGATGTAAACTTACGAATACCAAAAAGAAACTTTCAACAAATTGCTTTCAAAAAATATAAACAAAATTCTGTTTTGGATCAATGTTGTTGCGTATCCCAATGCTGAATTTCAATTCAAGTCTTTAAATGATTAATTAAACTTCTTTGCTGTCGATACAATTTATTTAAATGTTTGGTTGTAGTTTTCAATATAATATTTAGAAAGACAAATCAATAACATTATATTACCATTGTCAAACTGTTGGTATATTAACGCATATTTTATCATTCCTATTATTAATCCTTAATAATAATAATATTCGCGTTTGGTTTTACTTTCTCTAATTGTTGTTAAATATTTTATTGCTCTGAACATATTGGTCTTTACGTCTTGTGCAACGTTTTATCGAACGCTGATGTCACAATGGATCGAATTCGCCAGACCATAAAAAGTTGAATTCAATACGAAATACAGTCACGATCTTCTTGTCATGTTATTTATTGTTTTTCCATATTTCAATAAAGTGCACTATAGCACAGTAAATATGTAAATCTATATTTCCAATGCGTGTTATTGTAATAGATACAGAAGCATGAAATATTATTCTCTTAATTCAATAGCGACGATCGATATTTGACTTTCTCTTTTAAGGACGCCGTAAATGATCATAACTTTTATTTTGTTCAATCAATTTGAATGTATAAGATTAAAACCATCATAGATTGTATTCAAATATCAACTTATTCGCTTATTTTACAGTGTATGACGTATTCGTATGATGTTAATTTTGTATTTCACGGTATGATGAGATGAAAGTGAAACTAAAAATATGCAACAAATTTTATGACCAAAATCGAACGCATAAATGATATGGTCCCACCATAAGATATTTTCATACTTGAACCATGAAATAAATAATGTCATATTGTTCAAGCCGTATTGCGCACCCAGGCCACGAGAGAAAGATAAAACACCACAATTAGCCAATACATAACATCAAAGAATATTTATGTTGAACGAATAGTTTGGTAATTGTTCATGAATCCAAATTCAACGTGGATATATGTCTTATATGTAATATAGAATAGTGGCGGGCATTGGCTGATCGCTAATTACATCTTCAAAGAACCATATGCACGATTATATTTTCATTTATTAATGTTAGTATATATCATTGCACATAGGTTTTAGATTTGCAGCTTTTATTTTTTTACGTTAATCCATAATAATAATAACATTCACGTTTGGTTTTACTTTTCCTAATATATATATATGACAAATGTTTTAATACCTTGACCATCTTGCCGTTTAATACTTTGTATATTTACTTTAGGGGAAAATAATTACTCGATAAGTGCCAGAATACCTTACACATGTTATTTACACCTCCACAAATAACATATTAATCTATAGGGAATATTCAAATACTCAAAACTTTATCAGAAAGAAGCTTTGGAGTATAAGCAAGACATACCTGCCGCGTATTTTAGTGTCTCCTTACAAGCAATATCATTGGTTACAGACGAATAAACATCACTGAGGCGTCTGCAAGGTGCCGCAGATGCAGCAACGTTGAATTCATCAGATCACGACATGAACTTCACCTCGAGTGAAATAATTAAAAAACGTCATGCTGGGAAAATAACTACAGCTCCGTCTCATTTCCACCAGTACACGTGTTTATGGTATTATACTCTATATATACAAAGTGTAATATGAGGTGCTGTGAAAACCAACATGCTGACTTGACCTGAAAAACGCCATGCCAAATCGAACAGTTTATGTATTTCTCCAAATACTCAGAAAATATTCAAAATTGACACCTTGGCAAGGTTTTGTCGATGTGCTTATTTTATTGTGCATTTTCCTCGAACGTTCATTTTCGTTCGTCTTTGTTCGATTCCGACCTATTATTCACATAACAACAAGGCGCTGGAAATTTCCGCTTAAATGTTCCATTCAATTAATTTGATGTATTCAACATTGATCCGATATTTAATTGAGTTAATTACTACATTCATTAATACATTCCATACTACGTAATCGATGCTCACGTTAGTTTGTGATATAGAGGGTAATCGCGATGCCTTGTACTTCGAAGACTTTCCACCTCATTCCTCAGTAAGTCTGAATAGTTAGTTGTTGGTAACCTCGAAAGTGATTTCTTGTTAATAAAAAAGAATTTTCCCAATTTTGGATAACATTGCGTAAAACAAAGCAATCGCCATATAAAATTATATACACGTTCTTATCACTTCTTACGATATATATTTATAATCACATTGATAAAGTATAATCACGTTATCAACTTATCATATCACATATATATCATTGATTTGATTAGTTTTTATCTAAACTAAATTTGTGGAGTACTACAGAAACAGTAAGCTGAGTACACGATTATAAATTATTTTTGAAGTTTAGGACTCCTAATTTAGTTGAAGTTGCCCACACTATCCATCTCAGATAACACAAATTACCTATCACAAAATTTGTGACTATGAATTTTTATTCAACCATTAACTCAAATTTCGATTCGAAAATATCAGTGTTCATTATTTTGGATTTATTTTTTATTTTTGGTAAATGATATTTATTTATTTATTCCTTTATATATTACAAAGATTTTGAAAACTATTCGACATTATACAAATACCTAGTTGTTTATATATATACTATTTTTCGATCCAATGAACGTAAATTATATTATGATTCTATGGAGAGGATTCTATTGCCTTTAGACTTTAGAGCCTGAGATAACCAACTGTAAAACGAGTTTCCCATGTTGCACCTGTATGTGTACACAACGGACGATGCTTATTTCGGACAAAATTGCGACTTCCGTACAGATTCTTGCACCCGCAGTTACAGGAAGGAATGACAAATTCAGCAATATCTATCCGCTTGCAAAGTTTTACAATATTGCGCTGCTGGATAGATTGAAAAATCCACGAAAGGCATGCTAAAAAGTCTAGACTAGACCTAGACCAGCGTTTCCCAACTTTTTTGGTCGCAGACTATTTTCTCCGCTTGACCTGGGAAAATACTTTACTAGTATACTTTTGTTCATGTGCTCATAGTTGTTAATTTGCGACTTTGTCATATAAAAATGAATATATAAATCCTGTAAAATGAATGCAAACGTATGGTTATTGATTTTCGGAGAATCTCCTTGTAAGCATCTTTGCATCAGGATTTTTGAAGCATGTGTAATGGTTTGTGAGAGTTAGTTTAATAGTTATTGGAAACGAGCTGCAATGCGGTCAGTATGTTCATTTTCATGCAAAACTAATGAATTTATGTAGTTTCCAGATGTGCGCTACGAAACTCATTATCTAGGCGTTAAGAGTTCGCGCAGTTGCAATTCGTACCTGCTTTCCTGCAGAACAAATGAAAGTTTAGTCGGGACACGGTAACAGAAAGTTATTTCAAATTTTACAGGCATGAACCGAGGCAATTTTGAGTTCTTGTTTAGATCCGTACCTATGACCTACACTTGGTTAAATGGCGATCATGTCTTTGCAGAGTCAGCTAAAAGCTCAAAATTGGTACAAAGAATGAGCTGTATGCGAATCTGTTATCTGCATTACACGTGAACGTTGATTGGATGCCCAAGGTTTCAGCCTAAATTCCTAAACAATGAGCAGAATTTTTGTAGCCTTAACAGAGTTCGGAGATGCTGTTTATAGTATAGTAGACTCACAGCCTTCACACATTAAAAAAACGTGATGCCTCAAGTTTACGAAGAGTTGGATTCAGCCATTTAACACTGGTCAGGGATGAAACAGAATTCAAAACTAAGAAGTTTTCTAATCTACACTTAAACGCATTATTATTTCTAATTACAAGCGAAGTCACACTACGGAAGCGCTTGATTGCTTAGCCTCTCGCGGTGCCATGACAATTTTTCCAGATTTGTATCCATGATCACGTCATGACAATAACTCAAATAACACACTTACTCGGAATTGCTTACTTACTTGCTTAATGATGGGCTATTAACTGACAAAGATTCATATTGAGTGATTGAGAACATTTATTTAGTTGCATTAACGTGATAAAAAAATCCAGATTTCTCAACGAAGCATGTGCTCGAGTTGAATAATTACAGCTCTTCTTGTGATCATATTACTGTTGGACTCATGAACAGTTTGTGGGTTAACTGATAATTAATATTTGTGGTTGATCAACATGAATATGAGAAGTAATGTCTGACGACTTCTAAGTTGTTTAAAACTGTGCTATTTTTAAGGATGGAAGTGATCGGAGCACCTGCGGCGGCGACAAGATGAATCGATTTAGCATTATAAAATATGACATATTTCAAGCAGCTGATTCTTAATTTTCCATTGGTTGTATATTTACCTTTCGACTTCTAAATCTTGAATATCCTTTTTTGTAAAATATTTCTGCATCTCTAGAATTTTGAATGATCTGAAATGGCCCAGTTGGCATTTACATAAATGTTGTCAAAATGTATACCGAAGCTGCCTATGTCCTAGTACTTCACCATAGTCCAATCTTTGACTGTAAATAAATTATAGGTATGATATTATAAATTGAAATATTAGAAACCATGCAATGAACAACATATATGCAGACATGCTACATAAATATTTAAAAAGATTGATGACCTTTCACCCTGATGCCAATGCACATATTGAAATTGAAATATATATGTATTTTGTTTTGTTAACTCAGTAACAGCAAAACAGAACACATTAGTTCTTGGTAAGTGGGTCTTGTTCTTTTAAATTACTCATAGCGAGCAGACAAAGTCATATTAACATACATTGGAGAACGTTTTGACCTGCCGATTGCATCTAAAAGTTAACAAATTGAGGTGAGACGATGAGACCGCGCGCCGCATTTGTGTAAATTTCTGGCATTTAAACAGACAAATACTATAAAATGAATGAAGTTTTAGGAAACATTAATATAGAATGAGCAATATTACCTCATATTGTCGCCAATGAGAATTATTTTGGATGCTTCTCAACCTAAATGTGATTTATTTTCATTTTTATATATAGAATATAAATTTCACATAATAAATAAATGTATTATTGGTTAAATTTGACACCGAATAGAAGATGGTGAGGTTACCTTGAAATTGGGGCCTTCATACGAAGTTAGGCACTTTGAAGGTAGTGATTTGCGTGCATGTATTTTAGGTTTATTTGATTTCATATCTTTGAGCATCGCTCCTTGTTCCATCGTGACTTCGAATTGACAAGATTGATCTTATTCAAAAACAGAAAATCTCGTAACGTCTGCACTTTGTTATTGCATACGCATACCATAGACTAAACATGCGATAGAAACGTGTGCAATGCACTGCATGTAAGTAGCACGTGAAGAAAACGTAGGAAAGTAAACTCCCTTTTCCTGATTTGATATTGCTTTATCAGGGCAGATTTTCTCATTTCGTTTAAGGCTGTCGAACGAGTAACAATGATCTTCTCAAGGTGTGTCTTTATTTTGATCGTTTGCTTGTTGTTCAACCCGGCTGTTGGAAAACCAGGATACCGTCGTGAAAACGAAAATTGTGCATTGCCTGTGTCTGAGAAAGTCAATTATAATATGGTGAGCAATCATAAAAATTATTGCATTGAGTCGAAAAAACAAATACTTGACGATAAAAAGGGTTTAAATAACGCCACGTACGTATACGCAGGCTTGTCCATGGGAAACGTCCCATGGGATGGGAGAGCACTCAGAGCACACATTTGTATTTCCCATGGACACGTAAACGTATGATTTTCGTCGAAATGATGGTAAAACATTTCATTATGGATTCGTGTCATATAATTGAGCATAGCTCTCTTGTTAGTTATAAAGAGCAAAATATATTCAGCATTAAAAATATACTTCGTGAAGGGGCTGATGACACATGTATAATAGTTAT